AGGACAAATAGGGAATTGCATGCTAAATGTAATTCAGAGTGAGGTGCAAGGGTTTGGTAGAGTATGTGAGTATTGTAATATTTTGAATTAGAGTAAAGGGCTATTTTGTTTCCCAGAGCTGTAAAGTGAACTTATGTGAGCAGATAGAATTTCAAGAGTCCTATATAAAGTGCCTATTCTATTATGCAATCTATATACTTTATAATGATGATGATATCTAAATTATTTATCTAAAATACCTAAACACGAGTCATTATGACTATGGTGAAGATTCAAGTGGCATAGTGAATACATGTCTCATTAAATTTTGCAGGTTTCAAAAGATTTTTCACTCTAAGTTAAACACATAGTATCTCTGCTGAAATCCAGGCTTGGTCCAAATCTAGGGTGGCCTGTGATGGCATGACATTGGTGGCAGAAAATAGGGAGCAATATCACAGACCTTGCAAATTGATCTCAGTTCTAATCTTGCTGTGTATCATTTTAGGATTTTCTCAACTTCTCTGAGCCTCAGTAGTCAGCTTGATAAAGTTAAGTCTAGAAGCACTAAGTCGATTACAGACATTAAGTGAGACATGCAAAATACTTAATTCAAAACAGCACAGTGTTAAAATTCATGCATGTTCTTTTTTTCTTCTCTAATATTGTAGTTTAAGTAAAAATACTTATATTAAATGTTCTAGGGTGGGCATAATAATTTTTTTTTTACCATGATTTTCTATCTGAAACAAGTATCTGTTTTGTCAAGAATCCAACTTCATATTTTGGTAATAAACATAATAACTAACAGTATTTACTCTTTTAGTTAATACATGTATTTCAATCACAAGCCTATTTTAGAACTGAGTTGCCACCTTCCACCATAATTGTAGTAACAATATGCAAATCCACCCATAATCTAAAATAGGAAAATAAAGATGAGCAGGTGATTTAGTTTTTTGAAGGCAACCTAGTGTGCTAACAAGGGGGAAAAAGTCAATATAAATGTGAATAAACTCTAGTTTAAATAAACTGTAGTATATTTAAAGTTTTAAAATAAACTTTAAAAGAAAACTCATTTTTTCCTTTTAAAGACAGGTATTTATCATGATCATTCTCAGTATTTTTTTTATCTCAGGGAGTGCAGCTTTGAATGTTTCCCCCAAAATGGGTTTCACGGGAGGATTCATTTTCTCTACAGTATTTCCAGGGAGACTTACAGCAATGATGCGATGCTTTGCAAGCTTTAACCAACACTCCAGTTGAGGGAAAGAGGTGCACTGATTGGTTCCTGGCCCCATGGCTCTACAGAGCTCTGGCAGTCTGTCTGTTCCCAGGGCCAAGTGCACAGAGAAGATTAACTTGACCTTCTGGGGCTCCACCTCCAGTAAAAACAGACTCCTGTGGTATTGTAAGGAATTCCCAGGTGGCGCTAGCAGTAAAGAAGCCAGCTGTCAATGCAGAATACACAAGAGACAGGGGTTCGATCCCTGGGAGGGAAAAATCCCCTGGAGGAGGGCCTGGCAACCTACTCCAATATTCTTGCCTGGAGAATCCTCATGGACAGTGAAGCCTGGTGGCTATGGTACATAAGGTTGCAAAGAATCGGACACAACTGAAGTGACTTAGCACGCATGGACACATGGTGTTTTAAATCAAGCTAGATTTTGGATTCAATACTCTAAAAATATACTATTAGAAAAGAATATATTCCCATTACTCAGAGTATGGATTTATCAATATTTCTTAAAGTAGCTCAAAAGTCACTGAGTTAGCTACTGAAAAATAGAAACAAAAATGTGAATATCAATTGACATTTACATTTCTCTACTTTTATGTTTTTCTTTTTGTATCAGGTCAAAAAAAGACAAAGTCACTGGACAATTTACTAATTTAGTAATTGGCCAGTTCCTTTCATCAGTGGAGTCTTTTAACCCTGATATTCCCAAATCCAAAGTTTAGGGTATGAACCATTTTAGGCTTCTTTGCCTAAATTACTCAGTGCTGAGTAGACACAGATGTAAATCCAATTAACACTAAGAGATCAGTGATCATTACGGTTCTGGCTTTCCCATATGTGGATGAAGAAGTGGGAGGTGTTATAAATGACAGTACCTAAAGAATACATAGAAATCTTGTGGTGAAAGGGCTTCTTTTTTCAACTTAAAACTTTTGATGTTGAAATAATTGCAGGTTTATCTGCATTTCCAATGAATAACTCAAAAGGATCACATTTACCCCAATTTAGCTTCCTCCAATGATACGATTTTGGCAGAACTGTAGTAAAACATCAGAACCGAGATGCCTATATGGCTAGAGTCAAGATACAGAACATTTTCCGCACCATGAAAATCCTTCATGTTCCCCTTTTATTCAGAATCACCTTAACCATTCAGGCATGAATCTGTTTTCCATTTTTATAAATTTGCCATTTCAAGAATTTGGGAAGTTTTAGCTACTTGTCAGTCACTCAGTCGTGTCTGGCTCTTTGTGGCCACATGTACCACAGCACGTGAGGCTTTTCTATCCTCCACTGTCTCCCACAGTTTGCTCAGATTCATGTCTATTGAGTCAGTGATGCTATCTAACCATTTCATCCTTTCTTTGGTCTTCAATCTTTCCCACTATCAGGGTCTTTTCCAATGAGCTGGCTCTTCACATCACATGGCCGAAGGATTGGAGCTTCAGCATCAGTTCTTCCAATGAGTATTCAAGGCTGATTTTCTTTAGGATTGACTCATTTGAACTCCTTGCTGTCTAAAGGTTTCTTAAGAATATTTTCCAGCACCACAGTTCGAAAGTGTCAATTCTTCGGTGCTCAGCCTTCTGTATGGTCCAGCTCTCACGTCCATACATGACAATTGGAAATACCATAGCTTTGATTACATAGACCTTTGTTGACAAAGTGATGTCTTTGCTTTTAGTACATTGACTAGGTTTGTCATAGCTTTCCTTTCCAGGACACTGCACTGTGGTGGGGGTGGCCCTCGACTCCTGGATGATAGTCCTGACTATCTGCCCTGGCATCACCTAAGGAGCAGGAGAGGCACTTGCTGGCCCTTAACTGCTAGGGGCACGTGGATGTGGATGTCTGATTGGGTCAGTCTGATTCTGGGCCCCCACTTAACCACGAGGTTGACCACCACCACTATAACTGGCAAGCCCCACAGGAAGCCCAGGGTTGGAATACGGGTGAAAGTTTCCCAAAGGACAGGAACTGATATTTCCAGAGCAAAGAGGAAAAGTACTGGGTGGGGAAACAAAACAAAACAAAACAGTGCCCAGTACATTATCATTCAGTTTTGGGGTGACTTAGGAAGCTTCTTTGCGTGTTCAGTCAGTCAACCACGTCTGACTCTTCGCAACACCACAGACTGTAGCCCGCCAGGCTTCTCTGTCCATGGGATTTCCCAGGTGAGAATACTGGAGGGGGTTGCCATTTCTTCCTCCAGGGGATCTTCCTGACACAGGGATCAAACCAGTCTCCTGTGCCTCCTTCACTGGCAGACAAATTCTTTACCAAGGGGCCACCTGGGAAGCTTAGAATGCTTACTTATTTTTAAAGACTTTCGGTGATTGTGGCTTCTTAAAAAAGGCAGTGAGAGAAAGTGGAACAATAGTTAAATCATTTTATGTCTTCGTTCAACATTCATTTCTTCTGCTGGATTTTACTGAGTGAGTACACTGGGTTAGAAGCTGTGCTAGTTATTGAGAACCCATTGATGAAAAACCCACTACTTTTTTCTCAAGAAGCTTGAAAGGTGGGGGTTTCTGTTTGGCAGCTGGGTAAAAAGGTAGGAATTCTTTTCTAAAGCTGTACATGTATACAGTATCTTAGTTTTGAAATATAAACCATAGACACATGTGAATGCACCTTTAAGCAGAAGTAGGGCTTTTCTTTCTAGAAAGAAAGTGATGAGTGGGAGTTATTCTCTAGGTGTGAGGGCTTCTCACGGCGGTGGCTGCTCTTGTTGGGGGGCCCTAGGGCTCAAGGGCTTCAGCAGTTGCCGCTCCTGGGCTCCAGGGCACAGCATCAATAGTTGTGGCACATGGGCTTAGTTGCTCCGAGGCATGTAGGATCTTCCCAGACCAGGGATCGAACCAGTGTCTCTTGCATTAGCAGGCAGACTCTTTACCCCTGAGCCACCAGGGAAGTCCTCTTTTGTTTATACTGGATCGTCTCTCTTCCCCTCCATGGCTGGCGATAGAGCTATGAAAGTATTTAGACTTTAATTTCAGAGGAGGTAAATGTGGTTCCGTGAACTTCCAGATGTTCAAGCTGGTTTTAGAAAAGGCAGAGGAACCAGAGATCAAATTGCCAACATCCTCTGGATCATCGAAAAAGCAAGAGAGTTCCAGAAAAACATATATTTCTGCTTTATTGACTACACCAAAGCCTTCGAATGTGTGGATCACAATAAACTGTGGAAAATTCTGAAAGAGATGGGAATACCAGACCACCTGACCTGCCTCTTGAGAAACCTGTATGCAGGTCAGGAAGCAACAGTTAGAACTGGACATGGAA